GTAAGGATGAGTTGGTCTTGCAGGTTTGGGCTTTCTGTCACTGGACTGTCTTGATCTTGAGGCTGGGATGGGTTGGCTGAATGGTGTTCTGTTGGTGTATCTTTATCTCCATGTGTCAGGACAGAATCGTCGACCACCGATGAGTTTAACTTACGTGGCCTTTTTCCGGAGACTGAGGGTCGGTGCTCTGGTGTGTAGAGAGGTTGCATGGATGGAACAGGGGCGCGGAACCGATTGGGGGGTGCCTGGCCAGGCAGAAACTCCAGATCATAGAATTGACTCACCTTCTCCTTAAGAGACTGGTTTTCTGCCCTGATGGATGCGTTTTCGGTCCGGATTGCATTATGCTCGGCTTCCAGTGCAGCTACCTTATCCGAGTTTTGTTGCATGAGAGCGGTCAGAGCCTTCAGTTTGGTCTGGAGGCTGGGGTTTGTGTTGTCAGAGTTGTTAGCCATGGAAAGTTCCTCTACGTAGTAAGGTTCGTTGAGCCGCATGATTGCTAGAGGCCCCACGGTGAGCGCCAAACTGTAGACATAAAAATCTACTTGTACGGAAGGGGGGCTGATCCCGTGAGGTTGAGGCCACTAGCGATCCGCTGCACCTGCACACGTAGAGAAACAAACGCGTGAAGCAAACGGGAAACACCGGGGTGGTGTTTGCCATAGGCACTCCGACGCTCAAGTCAACAAGGCTGAAAGAGGCTAGTATAGTGAGAGCTAGGGAGTAGAGAGGTTACCGGAAGTCTAGTCGGAGACTATGACTACGGCGGTGATGTGAAGCTCTCAAGTAGGAGCTTCGGGTGTGAAGGTGTAATTTGTCCCTTGTGAGAGGGTTGGCCTCTGTTTATATAGCGACTGTCTAGTCTCCCAATCTTGGTGGGAGCAGGAGTCCTAGTATAACTCTGATACAAACCCAAGAAGAGTTAGGGCGGTGGTGAGCTGTCTTACCTGCGTCCGAATAGGAAGGTGATTTGAACAGGAAAACCACTTTGAGTAGGAAAGTGATCAGGAACAGGAAAGTGACTTCGAATAGGAGATTGATCAGGAACGGGAAAGTTATTAATGGGGGCTGTGGGCTCTGAACTCGCCTATGGGCCTAGGAAGTGAACTGGAACTGGGAGGCCCATGCTCAGATGGTTTGGGCAGGCCGTATCTCGTATCAAATAGGACTAATCTGGCTTGGGCATCTTTGGGCTTGGGCCTGGCCTCTTCCTCACTGGTGGTCCTATTTTCTTATTTGGGCCAATGACGATTTTTGGCCCTAACAAAGGAGTTCACTAAATTCAGTCAACTCTGCTGCCTGAGCCTCAATTTGGGCTCCCTATTTGGCCATTTGGTCATCAAGAATCTTAAATCGGGTACACTCCTCCATGGAAATGAACGAAAGCACCAAATGATAGGAATCAAATTGGATTTAACATAACTGCTCTATATGAGGGAACAACACCTCCTTAGGGAATTAGAGAATTGAGAAGAGAATTTGATTGATTATTTTCCTACCTTTCAAACTATTTCGAGCTCAATATTTATAGTCTGTCATTTACACCATGTCGAAAACTTATTGGAAATACAGTTAATACTCATAACATAAATAAAGCTAATCATAAGCCTAAACATATGCGGATGCTAATTATAATCCTTGATCCAAGCTGGAGGCTTCTTCTCACGCGTTGACCTTATCTTTCTGGGCATATCTCGTATCTCAGCACTTTGTTGTTGCCTAACATTATGTTGCAAAAACTACCTTTAATAATTTTGCATTGTCTCTTGAGGAAAAGGAGAAAGGGAAGTTTCTTTAAATATTCATATGCGAAAGTAGACTAAAACTTCATTGAAATAGATTGTAAGAGTACCTAATTATTGGTTTAGTCCATTCAGGAATTTATACCAAATTAATTTTTGCATGAATGCATTAACCTTACTTACCAGCACAATTAAGGTTCGTATCACTATATACGTAATCCACGATCGTTAAGCAATTGACAAATAAGCAGTGAAATGGGTCTACTGTTTAAAGAGAGCAAATTGACTTTAAAGTTCTATATTTGTATAATAAGAGAATCATGGTATAGCTTCTTTACTTAGAATTTCTTCCTAATCGTGGGAGCAAGGTCACAGGCGCTACACAAAGGACACTTGGAGAATTTTGACTAAAATTAGAGCTTCTTCCAAGGATCATGAAACGTGTCGACTGCAGAAATGAATGGAAACCAGATTTTGGCTTAATTTTATGCTGATGATGGAATAAAGAAGAAGCGAAAGAAAATGAGCTATATCAGTCAAAGAATATCGAAAAAGTTTTCCTTGTAATTGACTAATTTTATTTCATCAAGACAAGTTATTCTTTCACTATCAAGTAGGTGTCAAATTCAAAGTGGTTTATTCCACGATACACCATTAAACAATTGGCCATATTTCTTCAAATTCCTCGGGTCCTTCTCTTTACCTGATGAATGAATAAAGTGTTTTTAAAATCTGCCACCCATGTCTACTGTATTTGTATACAACTGAACTGATGCCATCCTTCCAAAGTATCTTTTCTGGAGAGATTTATTTCTCAATATTCATATTAATTGGCTATTGAAGATGCTGAAGATTTTCATAATTTATGTGGCGGCCATCGATTCCCTGAAGTGGGTCGACGTCTCTTAGTATATTTTAAGGTTCGTTGGAGAATTTTTTGTTTTTTAATGAAAAAAGCATTTTATATTTTTAGATATATATATATATATATATATAAACGCGTATCATATCAATTTTATAAAGGCGTATATATATATATATATATATATTAAGGCGTATCATATCAATTTTATATTTTAATCATTAGCGTTTCATTGCTTTAATTTCTTACTCCATCCTTAGCAAAAACAGAAAATATATACAAAAAGAATAACATTTTTTCTTTGGAGTATACAATACTCATGAACACCTCTCATACCAAGTTTGTTCATGTAGAATCTTAGTCATCCAGCCATGCATGAACATTTATTCCCATGTTTTTACATAATTTTTTTCACAAAGGTTTCTAATAGTCAAAGTCGGTATTATAACTTTGCTGAAGGTACAGTAATGTAATACTTTTCTTTTTCGTTTATTTATTATTATTATTATTATTATTTTTCCGATGATAAATTGGGACGCAACAGCTAGCAAGGCTTTTTCTTTCTCCTTTTTTTTTTTTTTTTTGGCATGAATACTCGATAAGGTGGCAGGAGAAATGACTGTAAATGAGCTTATTCACCCAAGCTTTAAAGTGAAGCATCGAATTAGGTGTCTGTGCATTTATGTTATATTTCTGATTTTTCCATCAGTAAAGTTTCTATCTTAGAACAATATTTCTGATTTTAACATCAGTAAAGTTTCTATCATAGAACAATATTGGACGTCTTGATCAATTAAATTGAAGCATGTATAATCTCGAATGATCGATCAGGAAGAATAATTAAAAATATTGAATGTTAATTACCTCACGGAACTTCTCTTATATAGATACACGTGCGTGGCACCGTTTCTGATGATAACTTTCTATGAACAATAAACCTATGTTACATCAAGGAAATGTTCCTATGTAAACTTTTCCGGTTGAAAAGGTTGATGGAAAGAAACAAAAAAGGTGCAATTATTATTATTTTTTTATCACGACAGGTGTTTGGATAAATTTGTGTGTATCTTAATTTTTGGGTCTTAAAACTGTCAGTTATATAAGAATCTTAACGATCACTCTTATTACTATTTGAGAAGACTTGAACTTAAAAGTTCATAAAACTTTTTCGTTTTACTCTTTACTATCAAACCATCCAATAGTGATTGCGTTCCTCGGTGAACCAAGAAATCAATCATAAATCACACTGCACGAATGAATATAGGTGACTACATCCAGTCCCAATTAGCTTTTTTTTTTTTTTTTGTTATTTTTTTTTGGTTCTATATGCACGCAAGGGCTTAGGCTTTTAAGTGTCTAGCTACTATATTTGGTGCCGTGCATACTTGTCAAAAGAAATACAGAACGTTTATGAATCAGCAAAGGCAACAGTTAAATTAGGCAACCTGTCTTTATTTGCCGACTTAGGAACAATATTTTTCTAGATTTGAATTTGCTTTTTTCTCTCTGATTGATCTAATTAACTGGAGATTCTATTACCCTTAATGAAGAATAAATTAACTAATTAATTTCTGGCAATTTCAACAATATAATTCGATCCACATATTTGACTCTTCCATTCTAACTTTACGATGTATCGCTGTTCATGAACAATATAGCAATGAATGAATGGTAATAGAATAGGTTTGCTTCAAAATCTTAGATAAATTCGTTAGTTTTATTTCCAGAAAGTTTCAGTCATGCCCACATGATCTAATTACATAAAAGGAAAGATTGAACAATTTGACATTAATAAAACGAATCTAAGTCATAAACAATATGCCAGACGATTCCATTTACAGCCCATAGACCAATAAGATAACAAATAGCGATTCCTTTTTGCCTCTTAGTAATAAACTACTGGTTTCCAAGCTTAGTGATAAGATTTTTTTTCTTTTCTTTAATTTTCGTTTTCAAAATGTAAGAAAGCATGTGTATGGAGAGAAGCACCTCAAAAGCTGAATTCCATTTGTCCAGGGATATTATATAAAAGCAGAAAAAAGTTGTATTCTTCATTCTCATTCTGCCAATAACGTGAAGACGTGTTGGATTACACACAGCGATATGTTTATTTTTATAATGCTTTGAGCATTTTAGAGGGATCTCTTAGACACAAACTCAGCAACACCCATCTCCCCTAGTGCCTTCTTTCAACGTTTATATTTGGAAAAAGACAACTCCGTTTTCAAAACTTATCACACGTGTCCTTTCCATAAATAGGTATGTGAAGAATTTTCGAATCTTTGAGCTTCTAACCCAAGCTCTTTCTCTATAATTTGTGTTTCTTTCATTGTGTCTATAAAAGCTCTTCATTGTCGCAAACACTTAATCATCTCAGTTCTGTATCAGAAATCTCTCTAGCTTTCTCCTTAAGAGTTCTGTTTTATATATAATGTCAAGAACGTCGGAACCACTGGCTGTGGGGAGAGTGGTGGGTGATGTTGTGGACATTTTCACCCCAACTGTGAAGATGACTGTAACTTATAACTCCAATAAGCAAGTTGCTAATGGTTATGAGCTTATGCCTGCTGTCATTGCTGCTAAACCTCGGGTTGAGATTGGTGGCGAGGACATGAGAGCCGCCTACACATTGGTAAATCTTAGTTTTTATATTTTACTACTTTGAGTACATAATTATAATGCTAATTCTAGTACTAACAACTTGTTGCTTCTTCTTCGTGCCTTCTCTTTCATTGAATAGATCATGACTGATCCTGATGCTCCAAGCCCTAGTGATCCACACCTGAGAGAGCATCTCCACTGGTTTGTATTATCAGACTAACCCTTATTATATGTTGTTTAATTAACATTTCATTGTACATTAATGTCGTTGTAAATTTTCTCACAAAACCTTTCAATTTCAGGATGGTTACGGACATTCCTGGAACCACTGATGTTTCCTTTGGTGAGTTTTTGAAACTTCAATTGATATTTGATACAATATGATTTAATTAAAGTGATGTCATGAACTTAAATGGGTTTTGATTTAAATGATTAACGTAAAACAGGAAAAGAAGTGGTTAGCTATGAGATTCCAAAGCCGGTGGTGGGCATCCATAGATATGTATTCATATTGTTCAAGCAAAGAGGAAGACAAACTGTGAAGGCACCAACTTCAAGGGACCATTTCAACACAAGGCGGTTCGCACAAGAGAACGGCCTCGGCCTGCCAGTGGCTGCAGTCTACTTCAATGCCCAGAGAGAAACCGCTGCAAGAAGAAGATGAAGATGAAGATGAAGATATAGAAGAAAGATCAGTTTAATACTATTTCACTCGAAATAAAAGAAAACTGCTCATCTTCAACTTGAAGTTGGCAGCATTATCCTCTGGTTCATGTTTTAGGGTTTTGGATTCAACTTGAAGTTGTATTTTGCTTAATGTTTTCGATTAGTTTATTACAGATTATGTTTTGTTTACTGAAAAACTAGGTTTTGGTTTGGTTTGGTGTGGGACCATATACTTTATAGGGTTTATTTTGATTATATGTACCGTACGATCGGATCAGATCGATCTACTGTAAATAGAATCATGATAGGACGTACGTCATTGCATCATAGATAAGCTACATGCCTTTCACCAGGCACGTGGCACGCTATGCAAAGATCATGTTCTGTACTATGTTCTCGTTGAGTATCTGCCCTTCCTATTTCTAATACAAAATAACATTAAAACTTGGTGTTTGATTATTAACATTTCTTTTTCTGTTCTTAGTTTTGGTTTTTTTTTGTTTTTTTTTTTTTTGGGTTGGCTGGAGATCTCAATTTACATGTATCTCAACTAATCTTCTAGGACCCTAAAGTTAACAGTCAGATAAATTTCCTCAGTCAGTGGTCATCCTTATTAGCAACCCAAGTGGATCGAACTCATAACCTATTAGATAATACACTCAAGAGTCTTAGTTGACTCTCAACTAATCCTTTAAGGCCCTGAAGTTGACAACCGGGTAAATCCCCTTAATCAATGGCTACCCTTAATAGCAACCCAGGTAGATTGAACTTATGACCTCTTGAATAATACACCCAAGAGTCCTAGTTGACCGTTGAGTCACCCTTATTAGCGACCCAAGTGGATCGAGCTCATGACCTCTTAAGTAATACACCCAAGAATCTTAGTTGACCGCTAGGCCACCTTAGTAACTCATGTGGATCAAACTTATAACCTCTCGAGTAATACACCAAAGAGTCTTAGTTGACCCCTGGGTCACCTGGTGGTGGTTTTTGTTCTTAGTTTCAAAATTTGTAGTTTCATAACTAATTCAATTACTATTGCCAAACTATTTTTCTTTTAATTATGTTATACCTGGGAAAACAAGGGCTGACGTGGAAAGTCACGTGATGCAGTGTGACCTGCTCCTGTCAGAACGGTAAGTACATGTCAGGCCTAACAAACGCTTTGGAGCTCTCATGTGTCCATTTCCCTGCAATAAATCGCGTGAAATCAGCTTGGGAAGTGGGTAATAGGACGTAAAGCCGGATTATGTCCTGACACTCACACCAACCTATGGATTTAATGATGATTACACGCCCTCATTTGGTTATAAAAGGGAGAAGACCCCTTCATTAAGGGGATTCGGCCATTTTTTACACTTGAACTCTCTCTCTCTTGCAAACTTTGTATTTACTTTTCCTAATCATTTGTAAGTCAATCCGCTGTTGCGACTTGACCCACAATACTAATACAAATCAGTGAACGTAGGACTTGCTACCTTAGCATCCGAACCACTTTAAAAAGCTCCCATAGCATTTATTTCACATTTTTCCTTTCCATAATCACGTGTGTCTCTTGATCAATCAATGTTACGCACGTGTCGATTAGTTGGTGTTAGAATCACGCATCAACAAATTACTATGTTGAATTAAGAAGATTTTGCTAGAGAAGAACAATGTTTTTTCTTTTATATGTGAAATATTGTTATAGAATTTTTGTCATAAACTCATAACAATGTTGTTGATTTACATCTAAATAGTAAATACTGTATCATGGATGGTGTTTGAAGCTGAACAAGGTTTAAAAACTCATTCAATATCATTTTCAACAATAGGTTTTTCTATTTTACAAATCTTAACGTAAAGTTTGATAAGATCCTCAACACATAGAATTCCTATGTCTACCTTTATAACAGACTGATAGTGAGCGGACCTCAAATTATTTAAGGTTTAGGTGTTGATCTCTCGATTGAGGAAGGCAGTGAGGGTCATATAAAATGGACAAGTTTATCGCCAACATCATCCAGCTCTTTAGGGTCCAGAATTCTTTTCATCTTCTGAACACAACTTCCAACACCTTGAAAAAATTAATATTATCTACTCCTATAACAAAATGAATTACTTCTCTTGCAGGGACCCAAAATGAATTAATATTATCTTTTTGCATCTTTTCTTTTCTCCTATAACGTCTACCTCTACAACCTTTTTGTAACATTATAATAATAATAATAATATACAAAATAACAAAGTACTATACCATTTGTTAGAAGCAATGAACAGAGACTTTTGACTATCATAAACAATCACACCAGAATGGTTAATGAGACAAAGTAGACGTTCTTAAATGACCAATTACAAATTACAATCAATTTCTTTTCCTTTTCCCACATACAAACTTTACAACCCCTTCTAAATATATATATATTTATAATCAAAACCAATCTAGATGCTAATCAAAATGCCATGATTCAAACCCAGATCCATTACCATGTAGCAGCTGAACAAAAAGCAGAAGCAAACATGGATTTCAAAACTCTTTTGTGACTTGGGGCTGGCGTTATCAAAAATTCTGTTTGGACCACCAATTTTACAAGCCATTACTAATCAAGCATTTATCTCTGAATTGCACTGATGCTCTCTAGTGCAGCTTCTCCTGCCCCAAAACATGCTTGAACAGCTTGTTCTCTCAAGTCTTGGCCCTTCCATTTTATCCTGTTCTATTGATGTTCCTTGAGCACGTCGGGGAGATTCATCTTGAGTTTCTATCTCTCTAGGTTCGAACGATGGGCATGGTCCATCATTGCAGGTGCATAAAGGGATGGCAACAGAAGGAAATGGGCTACAAGTGACTGGACAGAACATGTCTGAGGAAACTGAAGCTACACGATTCTTTCGAATCTCCGGGGCACAAGCTGGTGATTGGCGTTCAGCATCACGAGGGTGAAGCATGCATGGGGTACAGAGGCCAAGGGACAGGGGTTGCTTAATTTCTTTTACAGGGGAACCAGGCAATTTGACAAATGAGACAATTCCATGTCTACAAAGAGGGCACGGAATGGCGCCAGCAGGACCGACCATCTCTGAGGGGATGTTACTTGTGGAGCAAAGATAGAGTGCACATCTTACACAAAGTTCATGCCGACACCCTAACAGTATAAAGCAATTCTCATTAGTGAAGTCTAAGCATAATGTGAGCACGAAAATGATAATCCACAAAAAACAATAGACTGTTAACAACCTAGATGTTTACTACATGGAATGTCTCAATAGCTTAATATTATGATGTATAAACTTAAAAGAGAAGAACTTTGATGATTCAATGACTAAACAGGTAGCTCAGAACGTGCATAAACATGTTAGCCTGCACATGTTATTTAAAAAACCAAACATCTGCAAAGTAAAATGTTATAAGGCTGATAAACTGATAAGAGATTATGTTTTAGCATGAAAAAGGATGAAGGATTGACAGATTAAATTGATTCATAATAGGACTATGCAAAGGGTGGGCCTTTAACTCCTCACCACCATATGGCACTTTAGAAAAACCAGAGTAAAATAATGAAATGAAGCACAATGATGGCCAAGTGACACAGGAAAGCGGTCAATGTTTAGATAAATCATTAATTTAACTGAATATAACAAGCTTGCCATTAAATTATAGATACTTTGCTAAGGTAAAATCTTTCAATATGTTGTGCACTGAACAGACAACTAAGGAATAAAAGAAAAAATAGACAGTCATGAAAATGACTATTAATTAGGGTTCAAGGAGCTAGCACAAGGACAATGCCCATCAGATGAGAGTAGCTGCATTAAGGTTGTGAAGAAGATTAAGGAAAGCGAATGGAAAGAGCAAGCGTAGACCTTCCTATAAGGGTATGGCGGAATAAATTGATGACAAGAAGACCAAGAAGTGCGGCCATAAGCAACAAAAACCAGTGGGTGCTGAATGGAAATTTATAATATTAAGAGACAAAAGTATGGGACATGGTGAGCTTTGATCTAATAACAAAAGATTTGACCTTAATTATAGGATAGAAAAAGTATCCACATAGCTGAAGATATTGCTTTCATAGCTAACAAAAGATCAAACTCAATGTTATCAATAGGTTCTCTCAGCAGTAAACGAGCAGCTTCATGCAGAGAATCTCTGCTAATTCCTTTTCCTTCCCCAAAATATTACATACTCAGGGTTGTCACCTAAACTCACCTACATTATTTATTTTCTACTTTGAGATTTCGTCAAAAGTACATGTCTTTGATCACTGAAACGGCTGAAACTCCAGCAGATTAGTACAGAGTTGAAGAGAACATTCCGAATATCATGTTAAATGTACACAGCATTACTCTGATAAGTTGGCTGTTAAAAAACAAACACAAAAACAAAAAGTGCAACCAACGCATAAATTGTTCACTTAAGCCCTCTCTGGTTAAAGCTTCCCAATATTTGAACAAATCTAACATCTAGATCAATTGTTATTTTCATTTTCTTTGGTTTTTAGCACCAGCCAATTGCATTTTAAATGATCGATATACTCACCTGATTGTCTTAAAGTTAAAGACAAAATAGGCAAATTAAAGTTTATGGTTTCTCTATATTATGTTTGTCTAGAATAATTTTTTTGAGATTTCAATTTAGAGTTTTTCACAAAATTATTTTTTTAGAGAACAGCACACAATACTAGACTGAATGAACCAAACGAAGGACTGGATGACGGGATAAGATGCTGAAAACCTAACAGAAAGGATGCTGGTATTAACAACTATGAAGGAATTAATAATGGAAGTAATATTCCTTGTTTTAGAGCTACTCCATCACAAGCTAATAAAGATATCTTAATCAGATAATACACAACATTTGAAAAATAAAAACAAAAACAGTCAAAGAAAGAACGAACCTTCAGCAGCTACAGTGCATGCTCTCTCCAGGCAGACAGCACAAGTATCAGCATCATCTGAGGAGGTTGTTGAGGATTGCAAGCCACACTCTCTGCAAAGATTACTTGCAACATGTCATATTCGGGTTTAATTGCACAAACAGGAATATATTATTTATTACCTCCCAATCATATACAAAATCAACAGGCACAACCAATGTTTGAATTCTATACAGCACACATCCCCACCCCAAACTTTATATGAAAGAAAATAACGCTAGCATAAAGCTGAAAATTTATAACCTCATGTAACTCAATGAAAGAGATCACTGAAAAGTTACAGGTATAAAAGATCGAATTGCTCCAACCACAATTGACTGCATATTTATTCACTTAGAAGATTCTAATATTTTTTCATCTTTCACATCATATGCCCTTCTCTAGCTTCCTGATCTTTTTCCTCGGTTTTACTTTCACGATATGAAATATAATTTCTCCTAAGTTAGGTCAAGAAATTCAGTTTTAACCTTGCAACTTTATCTGTCGTGACAAACCTTTCCCTCCAAGTCCAAACCAGTATTATATCATCACTTATACCTTAAATATGTAACAAAGATGCCCGCAGAAGCACTAATCTGATGACCATCTGTTAGTAATTTAAGGACAGCAAAATACTTATCTGTTCACATAGTGGTTGAAAAATTACCTTGCTACATTAAGTACACTCAAAAGAGGCAAGGATAAGTAATTGGAAGGAGAAAATCTTGGTATGAGAGAGTCAGAATTGGGTGTCAGCAAAGGTTCAAGCCAATGACGTCCCCACATTCTAGCAACATCAAGAGGCAGCCACCTGAAGAAATACACAAACTTCTTTTAGCCATGTGATATACAGGCCCAAAAACGAAATCATACCAACAAGCCAAAGAGTGAACATGGCAAGAGAAACTATTGGCAATTAATTACCCATTGCAGTTCAAAGACATACGACTGGCACCCCTTGCAAGGAGGATCTGCAGAAATAGTACGATTGTCATCTCAAAAGTTAAAGGGAACTAAAGGTCATTTATGAAAATCTTTAAAGGATATTAGAATTCTTACCTGACAGCATTTTAAATTTCCTCCACAAGCAGCATAATGTAAAGGTGTGCTTCCAGCTCCTAGAAATAAATAGGATATGTCATTTCAAGCACTGACTACATAGAGATTATGCACAAAAGGGTCAAGAATCAAATACAAGAGCAAACCTATTAAATCCATTGATGTTCCGTAATGAAATGTCACCGCAGATACATTTGCATGAAGATCAAGCAAAAGCTGTACACAATCAAAATATCCATTCAATGCAGCCATATGGAGAGCAGTGATCCCGCCATCAGCTGCCTTATTTACAAACTTGGACAGGGCACTGCATTATAGAATTAGCCAGATAAACAACAAGAAAAATAATGCTCGATATCTTTGGCATATAAAAATAGAATGATTCGTTTGCATTGATATCATCAAACCACATGATAAAGCAAGTAGAAACATCTCCTTTGAAGAAATAGTCTATCAGAAATATTGAAATAATGCCACCAGAAACAAGACACAAAGTGCCATAGTTTGCAATCAACATTTACATCAAACAAAAGCATTTTGCAATTAGTTCTTTAGAAACAATCCAAAAAATGAATTGACTAATCTGAGCCCTTAATATATCTCCATTCCCACCCCAATCTCGCCAGCAACATGAGAGTTAATTGAGAAAGTAAATACACACGAGCAACATAAACAAATTCCACACCTTTGATCATACTTGTTCTTCAAAGTGGAACTGTCCCCTCTATTACCTTCAACATGAATATTCACAACTTCAAAAGGAGCACTAGGAACAAAATCAGCCACAACTAGTCTAATACATCTAACATGCCCATTTACAGCTGCAAAATGTAGAGCTGTCCTCCCACTGAGGTAATCTGCTCTTATGACCTATAGGAAGAAAATAGCTATGATTAACTTAAAGCAAAACAATGACATAAAAGCATCAAACCGCCTCTTTATCAAAGACAGATTTCATTTATTTAATATTCTATAATTTGCGGGGAGAAAAAAAAAAAAAAAGGCAAAGATTACTGGAAATTGAACTTACATTGCATCTGAAGAGCAGAAGAGTTTGTACAACTTCCCAGTGCCCATATCTACACGCTTGCATCAATGCGGTCTTCAAACATAAATTAGAAAAATTGAGTAAGTCAACAGTAAGTTTCAAAGCAGATCCATCAGCTTGTCGCTAATTAAGGGAACAGGTTTTTAGCTATGCTTATTAAAAAAGCAGATCATGTTTGTTTTGAAAACCATATTAGCAAAATTTTAATCCTATCTTTCACAATGAGGATCTTTTTCAGAGTCTGCTGGAACCAGAGAATCAGAATGCCGTCCCAATCTTTCAGAGGCTTCCAATTCCATACCATGTAAATAAACCTTAAAAAATCTAGATACAAAAATCTATGTATATAACAAAACAGAAAAAGACCCCTCACACAAATGATCAAATCAACCTTAATTCTCTAAAATCTTCAACAACAAAAAAGACAGCTTAAAAGAACAAAATCCAGAGGGGAAAAAAAAAAAGCAACAAATCTCATACCTGACCACAATAATTCCGGGAATTAACATCAGCTCCATTTTCAAGCAACAAAGCAACAATCTAACAAAAACCCACCAAAATTAAACACAAGAAGTAGAAAAGAACAAAATACCCATTACAAGAAAGGAAAAAGAAAAGCCATAACCAACCTCATTGTGGCCCTTAGCAGCAGCGAAATGAAGAGGTGAATTTAAGCCACCAAAAGTGGAATATTTAGCGAGACATGGGTTACAATCTAACAGCATCTTGGCTTCAACCAAATCACCATCCCTCGCTGCCGAAACTAATCTTTCTCCAGAAGCTGAACATCCAAAAGAATTCCCCATTTTTTTCCTTTTTCTCTGTGTGACTGTGGGTGTGTGTTTTCAATGGAAATGAATATTAGGTCAACTGTCGCAGAAGAAATCCATATCTTATACCCAATCAAAGAGCATAGAATTATAAATTAGAGATGTCAAATGGAACATAACATAAAGAAATAACCAAAATAAAAAGTTTACACAGAGCTCTAAATATAAATTGTGTGACGTGGCAATTTCTGTAAATATAATAAAAACTGAGTTAGTGATGGGTGCAAATGGGTTGGTGCTGTGTTTTTATGCATATGTTGTTGGGCTTTTGCTTTTAGAAACAAGGGAGAGCAACATTTTCCAACCCAAGGTTTGGCCTAAGTTATTTCCCACCCGAAAAGTTTCAAAAAGACACTTTTTTACCCGCTGTTAAGATCCATCGTTAACTTTAACTGAAGAATAACATAATGATAAATTCAAAAAAACAATCAATGGGTAATCATATCATTTTATCCCTTATATATAAATTTGGGGGAAAAAAATAGTTTACCTTTCTTTCCCAACCCTATTGCCTCAAATTCCGCTTCCCCGAATTTTCTTTCATACCAAAATCAAGTAGTAATTAATTTACATCCTTTGTTTTGTTATATTGTTATTATTTGGGATAATGGGTTGTGTTTTGTGTATTGAATTGTTGGGAAAATTAATGGGATAGGAGAAGGGATGGTGAAAACATAATCAAACCAAATTCGCAACGATTTGGTTGGAATCACATCTAGTTAGGTGCGATTCGACATGTTCGCACTCAATCGGGTGCAATTCTGGCCAATTGGTGAGCTTGGAGCCAAAATGGGTACCTGGTGGTGATGTCATTACCACAATCAAACGAGGGGAACTCTAATGCAATTTAGCTAGAATCACACCCAGCCTGGTGCGATTTAGGCCAAGTGCGATTCAACCTGAATCGCATCTGACCAAGTATGGCTTGATGGAGGAGAGAGGTGGTGGAGATCATATTCCTTGTACTCTCCGACAATCTCAATGATCTTTGCCTTTTTCGCTTGTAGGTTGTCGAATGTGAAGAAAACATAAATTGAGCTTATGGATTTGGTGGGATTACAAGAGGTTTTTTTTTATGTGTTCCTAAGTTGTTTAAATGTGAAGCAAATCTGAGTTTTCATTTTAATTTAAGTTGAGGAATGATTTGAGGATTTTTTTTTTTTTTTTTTTTAGGAAGCAAGTGAAGATTTTTAAATGCCATATTTGCACCTGATTGGGTGCAATTTCGACTGATTCGCACCCGACCAAGTACAATTCAATCGAAATTACATTCGATTAGGTGTGAATCGGTTAGAATCACACCTAGTGATTCCAACAACTTTTTTTTCCAAACTTTTATAAATTTTTTTCAGTTTGGGCATGGATTTGGATTTGGATTTGGATTTGGATTCAAATAATAAAAGGTAATTTCATCTTTACACTAATTATACTATGTCAGTTAACATATTTCACTAATAGACCTTAATGGTGGGTGAGAAAGTGTGTTTTTGAAACTTTTCGGGTGGGAAATGAGTTGGGCCAAACCTTGGGTTGGCAAATTTGTTCTCCCTCGAAACAAATTGAGTAGGGAGCAGACCCGTGTCGGCCTTTTGGGTTATGACAAACGTATTACAAATATCACCTCTTGCCTCAACAGCTCAACTTGAGCTTCTCTATGTGTTTCTATTTGCCACCTTGGATTTCTTTACGGTTACACTCCATGCAGTTTGTTCATTTCTTTATTAAAGTATTCCCTTCTTTTCATCGTTAATGAGTGCATAAGATTTTTCTTCATAACAAATAAGTGCTATTATTATTTCTCTTTAAGGTAATTAAGTATGAGAAGATAAAAAATAAAATAAAATCATTTGTCCAAGACTATAGTTGTTAATTGGTTAAAGACTTAATTAAGAATGCATGTGGAAGGAATAATCAATAAGAAAATGTGGCATAAATGCATATTTTAAATGAATTATTATTAATATATTTAAAGAATTATGTTATAGTAATCAATATTTTTAAATAATTTATTCACGATATGATATACTTTTTTAATTATTGGATTAAGACATCGTACATGGTTGGAATTTAAGGTAAATTGTAAATCTTGAAAATTGACACAATTTAAATATAATCTCAATCATTCAAATTTCAAACTATAAAATACATATTTTAGAAATTGTGTGAAAACTATTATTTAAAAAAAAATATATGAATTAATGTATCTTGAGATAATTACTTTAAATCTCAACTATGCAGCTTCTAAATAATAAGATTACATGGATCTAAAGCTAAAAATTCATATTATAATTTTTTTTGTAATAACTTGACCCTTATTTGAATTTATATTAAGAACGGATTTGATAGATTTGATAGCTAACGTGTCCTAATTCTATTGGTAATAGTAGAGAACTGTATAGTGTATACCAGACTTTTCCAGGACAAACCGCACGATTAGGCTCTCCAAACAGCTCCTGATAGGCCCACTTGGCAGAACTGCATTAAGTGGTAGTCAAAACGCGTGCGCGCTCTGTGCCTGTACGAAAGAAAAATATCAGGTGCTACACAAATCACGATAATAATGTGTGCGAGCCCACCGCTCGAACGATAAAAGCGCAATGCAGATCTAGTCTAGCATAAGAAATGATAGATTGAACTGCTGACACTTTACACGTGGGGGCATTTATACAGGGTGAAGAAGTAGCGAAATCTGTAGAAGAGAATCACGATCGTTGATCTGACGGTTGAGAGATGATAATTCGGTGGGTGGTTGACGTGAAAAGTTGTGAGTAGTCAGACAGAAGATTATTTTAAAGAGTTTCACCTCGGGACGTACGCCATGGATTACGTTTGTTTGGTGAGGAATGTGGACCGTAGATTTCTGATGCCTGAAAGCACCAAAGCGGCACCTCATTAATAATCCAATAAATGATTTTTCTTTTTTCATAAATAAAGTTAAAATACATCCAATAATTTAGAAAAAATACTTCCAAAAATATTATTAATTAATAACAATTCAACAACTGTTTAGACCCATTTTTTACTTCACATTGAAATATGTAGAGAAATATTTAATCATCCCTAATATTTCAAATTGGTTCAAATAATATATCGTATCGTTGATGTAACAAATGGTATAAAAAGGAAAAAAAAAGTCATGGGGTGATCTGATACTAATTAAAAAAAAAAAATGAAGTTTTATAAGTTTCTGAGTTCGAATCATCTCAAACACTAATAGGAATGGCCACTAAGACTTTTACTCTACCGACAATTTCAAAGTCTCGAAAGATTAGTTAAGATGTATGCAAGCTGACTCAGATACCTCCCATAATTAAAAAAAAAAAAAAAGGTATAAAAATAAAAGAAAATTGGTGCCATTTTTAAGAAATAGGGCAAGACGTTGTTGTGTGTATAAGAGTGGAAGGTTAAAGATTGGTTGAGTGCAATTACAATTGGGTTATTTTCTTGGTTGATGATTTTGGCATCAACTTTCGGTACATTAATTTAATAATCAGAGGACATACATGTTGACATTTTATTTGTGTTACAAGTTTCATATGAAGAATAATAGTTTAACGTCAACTGGATGTTGTGTTACCAGAATTTTTGTGCTTAAAGTCATATAAAGGATACATTAATTAGAATAATCCCAATCCTAGAGATCTTTTGGTTGATATTACAAGTAGTCAAGTAGTACACAATATCTTAGAATGTGTTCATTTCAATACTATAGTTCTGACTTCTCTCAACCAATTTGTATGGGAGAAGTTAGGAAAATTCAATAAAAATCTCAATTAAAATTCAAGTATGAATTGACTATTAAGAAGATTTTCGGAGCTTGCCTCTAACAAGAAGATTGCAAATATTATGTCACTTAACGTGTTTACAAACACAAGAGTAGTGATAATTGTATATTGATTGATGATGTTTGGCCAAGAATTGTTTTAAAATTTAGGGTTATTTATTATTTATAGTGGGTTTGGAAGGTTTGGTTTGAGACAAGGGATAAAATTACAATTGTTGAAAGCTTATATTAACGTAGTTGCATTATAAAATTTCGATTACTTCTCCACAAGTTGGATTCGGCTGCAGGCATCACTCAATATTTATTTATATAAATTATGTCATTTTCTGAATATTTGATACCAATTTTATAAGAGAATCATACTACACATATAACCATTACGTAAAGCTTCAATACAATGGCAAAACATCTAAGATTCTTGGCGTAATTCTCTATTTTTCTTTGCTTTCACGTAATTAATATTATATCAAGCACAGTATAGTCAACAAATACTTAAGGACAAAAATTTGATTATTATAACTAAAAATATGTTTTCATTGACTCTTCCAACTTGAAACTATCGTTTTCACAATACTGTACATGTTTCTTTCAATTTTGAGTTATCTTAAAATCTAATTTAACTTCTATTAGTTGTTAAATACCTAAAACCAATTATATGGGAAATGGGTTTAGTATTGAAATGTGTGTTGTTTCGAATTTGGTATGATTAATGATGTGAGATTGAGATTAGTGTATTAAATAATAGTGTTAATGATTGTAGGTGGCCTTATAATTCAAAACCTATGACTCTATGTAATGAGGAATGTTGAAGGGAGTGCATATTTTATGAAGCCTAAATTGGGTTTGTGTTGTTTTCAGTGGTTAGTGGATACCATTTGGGTCTATCCAACGTTTAAAATGGAATCATCAATCGAACAACCTTGTTTTAGATGTGGACATAAAATCTTTTTAAATTGATCAAGTTCGATGTTAAACCCACCTAACTTGAACCAACTTACACGCCTTTGGACCATTTGCAAATGACCAAGCAGGAACTCATGTCATGGACTCATGGCTACTGAATTCTGATCCAAGCCCATGGAAATTCAGCTGCCAGAGGCCCAAAAATTTGATTAGACCAAAGCAAACCCTTTTACGGTATCAAGCCATTTCTGTAATTGGGTTTTTCATCGTGCCTGTTTAAGTGTTAACACGTCTATCAGGGAATTTGATGAAGTTCTGGGAATAACAAAAGGAGATAGGTTGAATTAGAAGGCAAGAGACTCAATGACTCTTGCTGGACCATGGCTTAGAGTCGATCAGTTCTCTTTAACTCTGCAATTAGTAAAGACTACGATCCAAGTGAATAAATTGTATAAACAATAAATATAAGTAGAGCAGTAGTCGAGACTCGCTCTATAACTATATCAGAGATTACAGAGTCTTATCAGCTGAATACATGCACAAGCACCAATTCTACCATGTGTTTTCCAAAAAACGCATACAGTCTTATAGATTTAAAAAACTTGAGTTGAGGGCAGTGTTTTTTGAACTTCAACTTCACAACAGAAACTTAAAAAAGATCAGGAATACAAACTCCGACGGAGGAGGATATTTACTGTCATCGATTCTTATCAACAGTACATATTAAGTAATGATTGATTGCATAGGTAATTCTATTGCTTAGTCCGCCTTAGTCTATAGCATGACTGAAGCAAGGCAAGGGCATAACTTGATATATTCGATTAAATTCCAAATTACATTACCGGTGATTTCAGTCACAAGTCACAGATTGCTCAAGTTTATACCTCAGGAAGACTACAGAAAATTACTACATCGAAAAACATCAGGATAAGCTAAATCTTTACTGACTTTGATCCATTGTGTGTACATACATTAAGGAAAAATCTATTTCATTGCACCAACTTATTAGTGATATTTCTGACAACGCCCAACAGCACCAAAACCTCAGAAACAGTTATCCAGCTGGACTTCATGATGGCAAGATCAGCATCTTGGTGCCAAAGCTCTCGCAACTTCAACTTTCAAACTCAAATACATTAATTACTTTGACGGCTGAAAGTTTCTTCTTCAACTACTTAGCCAAATCAGTACAAGGAAAAAGACATGGCACAAATTAGAATCCCAAAATCTGTTCACCAGGGCTCAAAAAAGTTTGCCATACTTCAAAGTTGAAGCACTCCACTTTAGGGAAGAAAATTGCAAAAGTGCACTTCCTGTATAAAATGTTTTTCCTCTCAAATATAAGTTTCTTTAAGAACTGAAACCCAATATGAGGTGCTTCTTCAACCTTGGATGAGAAATCTATCACCCATGCCAGTCATTCATCATTCTCAATTCACAAATTCTGATCATTTAAAGATATCTTTGATGTTTCTGACCATAGTGTCCAATGGATCTAAGTTCCAAATCACTCGCTTACACAGGCACCCTGCTCTGCACCAATAATTTCATCACAATCATCATCGTCATCTGAACTATCTGACTCAACATCAGAACCCAAATCTGAATTCAAATCATCCTCCCCATTTCCAACTCCTCCAGCATTTTCCTCAACCCCATATTTGTCAAAATCATTCCCTTCATAAACCCTTCTAACACGCTGCATCCTGTCATCTTCTCTATCTCGCCCAAAGCTAACCAACGCCCTATCCATCATCATCTTCCTAGGACTCAACAAAACCAACTCGGCCAACTTCCTCCTTGCCAAATATAAATCATTTGGCTCTATCAACTCCCCTTTCCTATACGCCTCCCTAAGAAACAGTGTATGAAGTTTCCCATGATTCCCCCTTGTTGACATATAAAATATTCCCTGATGCTGAAGCACAAACTCCTTCAACTTCTTCGGCAAGTTCATTGCCAACCTAAAATGTGCAATCCTTTCCAATGTCAACTTCTTCTCCACAGTCAACGACAACATTTCATGAATAGTTGCCACTGCCCTCTTCTCCATTCTCTTTTGCGCCTCAAGTGATCTCAAGTCATACCCTGATACATCCTCATAGGGGGACCAATAAGGAACCCGTTGCCATTTCCACACTGCAATTCTGTAATATTTCCCAATCTTGAATCCAGGTGGAAAATTCACAATAAACGAAAACCTAATATCTTCTTCATCAATACCTTTCTCTCTATAATCTCTTTCTCTAACTTTCTCAATAGCACAAACAGCTAAACTATTATCTCTCTCAACAAGCTCTATATATTTATTTCTAGTGTCATCAGCATCAAACAATCTAAAATAATGTGGGTTCTTAAGAATTACCGAGCACTCAAAATCCTCAGGCAACCCGAATTCAGACCTCGCAATCCGAATATGTTCAAGCCGTAACCGACCCGTATTGGACATCATAAGAAGCTTCCTCAAACGGGTCACAGCATCCGGTATTTGGGCATCCAAAGCTTGTTTTTCTTGTTCAATTTGGAGAATAGCTTTTCGTGTTAAACGACAGTACAAAATTCGTTTAACTGGGTGCTCGTAGATTTCAAAAACGTGTGGGAACTTGAGGAGAAACTTCCCAGCTTCATGGTTTTTGAAGCCAATGCGGCGAGAGAGCATGTCTAAGCGAAAGATAGGCAGTGTTTCGTTGTATTGGGACATGATTAAAGGCTGAAATTTGAGGACTTTGCGCGTCTTCTTTTCGATTTCCATGTAGTCATCGTAAGCGTGGTCGCGGACTCTCTCTTGTTTTTTAGGGATTGAAGTGCATTTCTGGGACATGTGTTTTGGGAATATTAAGTTGTGGTAACCTGTGAATGAGATAACTGTGTTCAGTGTTGTTGTTGATGTAGTTTTAAGTTTCAAAAGTTTGGCAGTGAAAGACAAGAAGACGGGCATTTTGTGAGCTTGTGCTGGGTGGTGGGCGTTTAGGGTTTTGAACTGATTGATTCTTGATCGGAGAGGAGAAGACGGAAGAGTGTGTTTGCCTGGGGAAATTGGTAGACATGATTAAAGAAGTACGGGGCTTTTAAATTAAATAAAATATAGGGGCCGTCAGGAAATTGTAACTTTTTAGCTGCTTTTAGATTGGACTTTGTAGAGGTTTTAGTTTGGGCTGCTTTAGCTTCAACCCATCGGCCCAAAACAATTTTATTTAATATTCAATAATTAAGAAATTTGATTTGAACATTAAAAAACTGTTTTAGACTTGAAAGGTAGGAGAGTAAACAATACATTTTCTCACTATTACTTTTAAAATACTTATTACTTAAATTTATATTTAATTTATTTTCGTTACAACCACGACATACAACCATTTCTTTTCTTATCATCACTCACTAAAACCTCTCAAACCTTACTCCCGCCGACCACAATTGTCAAAAATCGACGAATTAAATTTACGCAGTATCCTCTTAAGTCAAATATGATTAATCCCAATCCCAAATCAATATCTACCATCAAAAGATATCGCTCCCCTCTAAAAACTCCAATAACTTAATCGAATACTATTTGCATTAAATATAAATTTAGGTATAAAATAGTAATTTAAAAATTTATAGGTGAAAATAATTATTAAACCATTATTTGGGGAAAAAAAAAAAAATGTGTTAACTTATGGAAATATGTATTTATAAGAAATGCCAACAGACATTTACATATTATCAACTATAACCCGTAGTCTTTGATCCCGTACCAAACCAACCAGTTTTTCCTTATGACTTTTATTGCATGGGATCAAAGACAATATCAGTTTCAATTACAACTTGTACAATTACAATGGATTCTTATAAAAACATATTTCCAAAACCTTTTCAAGTCTAAAACAGTTTTTATAGATGTTAAACATTGAAAAAATAAGTTGGAAAAAAGATTTTTAAGAATGGAATGTTCAAGTAAGATGCACAGTTCACCATCTCAAAGGTGGAATTTATAATAAACTAATAAATCAAATTTTATGCAAAATGCTATACGAAAAAACCAAAAGAGAGGGCATGCATATATTATTAAAGTCAAGATAAAATAACCCACATTCGATTAAAGTTAGAAAAAACTTAAAAAGAGTTCTAACAGTTATCTGTCTTGTTCTTCCCTCTATCAGACGACACATCACAACACCTTTACGAGCTAGCAAACTCCTGGTCCAGAGTCAATACCGAACCACTCACCCGCACAGTCCAGCAAAAACTTCCCCCCACAGGCGGTCGTTCTTGACTCGAAACCCCTCTCTCTGGAAAATTTCATCTCCAGCTCTTCGTTTCCATCATTCTATATATTCCTATACTTTCAGCATATATGATTTTGTTTTTTCAAAAACAAAAAAAAACAAAAACAAAAAACAGTAATATAGCTGTGCACACAGTTACCTATTTTCCCCAAGTTTATATTTTTGTAGGGCAGCTCTGCTTTTGAATTGTGCACGAGATTAGATTGTTAACCGTCTCAATGATCACAGTGAGTTTGGCGGTGGAAGGCTGTTCACCAAAATTTGAAATCCTACAGTAAGTAAGCATCCACCACTTCCAATACTATTACCCTCATTGTAGTTGCTTGACCCGCATGTCGAATCGACATCGGGAAGAATGGCAAATCCTGATGGCAAGTGCCACGCATGCGAATCCACCATCATTCACCATACCCATTGATGGTACATCGACGGTGCATACACTATAAGCGAGCCTGAGGCGTCATTCCATGTCTCTTGCAGTATTAGCATGTTGCTTTCACACATTCATGGACTGAAAAACCCAATCAAACAAAGACCAAACATGTTAAGCATAAAAAATAGAAGAATATATAATAATTGTTTATCAATTTATCAAATTTTTTTAATGACACTCACACTAGCACGAAGAGAGAAACGCAGTTGCCATGTCTGCCTGGCAATATGGACCATCTCTTGCATTGGCCCACCATTGATAAAAGTCCCCATCACTCCTCATTCGTTCATTGCGCATAAAATCAAACAACTCTGCCTTGTTGCTGGAATCCAAACAGAAGTTGCAGCACACAGCACAACACCAGGTGGCTCACCAGGATCGTTGATATTTTTTCGAGTCAACACCCATCCTCACTGATATTTCCAACACAGAGCTGTGCCCACCTGGTACACTTGAAGCACAAACCCCAGCACAAAAGTTATATGTCATGCGATGCGCCAGCTAGCATGCTTTTCCTACCATCGGATTTATCCCTGTGGCAGTATTAAATATTAGAAAACTGAAATTTACACAAATGTCGTATAAGAAAAATGGCTTAGCCTTAAAATGAACTGAATGATCTTGGCCAGGTAGGATAGATGACATGAGAATTGCAAAGCCTCACATTGCCTTTGTAGCGTCGCAAGCCACCTCTGTGCACCAAAGCCCATGCCGGAACTAAGTAATGGCTGGAGAGATGGTGAATGTACTCTCATCTATTCAGTATGCTCAATCCAAGTAACCTGATACCACATATTAACAGCTAAGTCGCTTCTAGTTAAAAGTAAAAAGTAAAAGAAGAAACATCTCCTACCGTACAACTACCAACCATGAATTTCTTCATAGTATGAAGAACACCTAATGTATTTTATTAGGGTGTTTTTTAATTAGAGAAAATTATCTTTCCGGAAGTTAGGATATCGCTATTTTGTGTTTTGTTTTCTTCATTACTTATTCAAAGTTTGAATTTGGATCTTGTTTGAACTTTGCTCCTATAACTAGGTTTTAAATTTTGGAGAACATAATTAGATAAGACAAAGAATGGAAATCATTGAATTGTTTTCTTCCCTCCTCACAAAATTTTCTCCTATATCTTTGAGTTTTTCTCTAGTTTCCATCTTGTTCCTCTTTTTTTTCACTACCTCATTTCACCCTCCTCCTTTTCTTCTTTTTTCATATTCGCCTATAATGCAATCATTCAAATTAAGGTCATCTGAGCATCAGTCATCTAAAATGAAAATAGCTAATTCTTATTGTGATCCATTATCGAAAAAAAAAAAAAGGGTTATATGATAAGTCAAGAAATACTATTGCCTCCTCAATCTTTGAAAAGGCTACATAAAATATTTTTGTTGGTAATAAGAGAGAAGGTTGGAAGGCAAAGATAGTATCAAGTTCATTAAAGGCTTAAACCTAGGCAGATAATAAATCCACAATATACCCATTATCTGCCAGCCAAAAGTAGCCCAGCTATTGCTCGGAGCATTTTGTAAGCTACTATAATATAGATAATAATCAGACATGGTTAGGAAATTTCTTCATCATCAAAACATTATCCAGTATCATGTGGAAAAAGTTATGTCCAACTGAAGGCACAAAAACTGCCACAAGAGACGGATGGAAGGATATATATCTAACTACAAAACTTGAATCAAATTTGTACTACTTATTAAAGAGTTGTAACTTAAAATCACATAAAACTCAAAGCCTCCTGTAGATTAGTAGTGCTATAGAGGTATAAGGAAAGGACAAATGCAAAGTCAGTATCGGCATGCCATGCTCACAAGATAGAAGAGAACTCTTGATATACACAATAGTGAAATAGAAGCATTCTAAATATTATATTATTCTATGGAAGGGAACCAAAGTGAAGAAAAAATCAGGGAGTTCGTAGCAAGATATAAAGTAGGGTCATTCTTAAGATTTGAAAAATATATTTTTAACAGTTTTAAGATATATAAAAGGGTGACACATCAAAATAAACAAAGTACCCTACGACATGGGTTGAAGAGTTCAACATAATGACTGGATCCAGGTCATTAAGTTCGGGGGCAATAAAGAAAGCTTATGTGAGAAGACGAGATAGGAATGAAAGATCAAATATATAAAATATTCAGAAAAGATTTGAGAATTCCAAAGTTAAAACTTCAATAAAGGTTACGAAAATAGTACATTCACAATGCAAGAATACATGTGTAGCTTTATGCAAATTTCAAAATTGATTACCCTTGATTTTCTCAATAAAATGTGAAATAGTAACAGACAAAAGCAACCTTAGTGTTGAAACTGAAGACTACTAAATTTTAAATCAAGGAAGACTTCTTCAGTAAATAATAATAAAGCTTCAGATTCTTAGGTAAAGTCTTACTATTTTTTAACAAGAGAATCATTTTAAAGAAAGTGTCTGTCGAGTAGTGTAGCAAATTAAATTATATGAAGAAAAGTCAATGCAGGTTTGGACTAGGAGTCCACCAGATGTAACTTCACATTGATATAATCTCAACCAAATCAATAATTACAGATATATCAACAATAGAAATGAAAGTCAATAAATTACGCAAAAACACTAAAGCATTCAAAATAGCCATTACCTTGGAATAATTATTCGGCATATCTTGCAAACACAGCAGAAGGAAGCCTTCGGCGGTCAAATATGGATCCCCGTTTGGACGTCTTGGTTTGTGTTGATAGACACATCAACAAGCCCAAACACCCTCAGCATGCTGCTTGCAGACCGGAGAAACTTCACTTGGGGACAGGAACTAGAGGTGAAAGTACTTGGAACTCAGAGCATCTACAAAGTATGAAATTCATCCTTAGGTTCATCAAAATTAGTAGCTAAAGAAACGGAAAAGATGCTTAGGAACAAACCACTTGCAGAGCACCATTTTGGTTCAGCCACACCGTGGAATCATATCAGTGGTGACAGCTCCAGAACATACATGGGAACGTATCTACCCATCGATTCTACACAAAGAAAAGTGATCAATCAATCATCTATACTGAACTTCAAGCTAAACACAAAAATCAACAAATAGAAACAATTTGCTGTGACTAAAAGCAGTGTCTAAAGAAAAACAAATATATTTACAATGGTACAAGGGGTTCAGATAGATACCGGTCCATTAAAGTCTCTACAAGAGCCAAGCTATTGACAATTACAATACCAGTTTCCCTTGAAGCCTCAGTCACAAAGCCATTTGGTTCAGGCCCATACTAGATGGAAATGTTCTCATATACTCTCCTGGTTCAGGACATCCCTCCCACCACATTTGACCCAAATAGGACTATCTGCCTGAGCCATCTAATCAACACATAGCTGCCAATGCAAGATCAACAAGCATATTCTCTCATATGGCATTTCATTTCCCATCATGCCTGCTATTGGTGGTTTCATAAAAGGCCCTCAAAAACTCATGTCCGTTAACATGGGGAACCTGGATACTTGGCAAGCCACCTAAACCATTTCTTCCCACGGCAAGTTCCAAACTGGAGTTTAAGAATTGGGGACAGGATTGGCCGAGGATGTAAGAGGCCTGCCCAGGAACTTGTAGCCAAGATGCAAATCCGACTCAATTCGTCCCGTAATCGAGCATTCTCATCCTAAGTTGCTGAGCTCATAATTGGCAACATTACGGCACAGCCGGACCACCACAATTGTTGACTACTGGATTTTTCACTGCTTCCTTCAACATATCATTCTCAGCTCTAAGCTTATATGTTCTTGCCGAAGCATTACATTCTCATGCCTTCCATTTGGGTCTGATAAAATAAAATAAAAATCAAAAAGATTGTAATCAATATGATGAAAAAGTTCAAATAAAAGATCAAAGAGTGAAAACTCTTCATCATTTTACCTTCACTGGGTTCTCCTATTCTGAAACCAGAACTTGATTTGCTGGTCTCTAAGTTAAGCCTTCTACTGAGTTCCAACTTTGTTTCTCATCGGGGTGAGGACACTCCTTAAAGAAACTGAAACACAACCAAACAAGAGAAAACGAATAACTCCAATCAACAAATAACCCGTCAATTAGAGAACGGAATATATAAAAAATATAAAAGAAGATGAAAAGAAGGCGTACGCTTCAAGTCTGTATTGATGATGGAGTGGTCCGTGAACTTTTTCTTCCTGGCGGTCCTCTTCATTGGCTCTGATCATCACCAGAGCACCACCTTCAATATTACTCCAGACCTGCTCTCGACTCATCCTCCTAATCCTTCCATATACTAGGATCAAATGTTCCCCATCAGATCCATTCAGCAAACCACCCATTATTTTTCTGCACAAACCATAAAAACAACACGGATGTTAGAAGAAAAAAAAACAAGATCAAAAAGTAACAACACCAATTGAAAAAAAAAAAAAAAGCTACAAGGAGAAGGAAAGGGGAAATTGAGCAATGGCATCAGTGGCATGTGTGACCGTGTGGAAGAAATTCAGCCTCAGTCTTTGCACCCATATCATCACTACTACCTCTAGGACTGTTGATTAAACCCCCAAAACCATGAAAATGGAAAAGTAGATACAACTTTTTATCTCTCCTGACAGGTGCTTTGTCTAGGTTCTTTGAAGTTGGCCACTATCACTTTCAAATAAATAAATAAAAAAACGTTAGATTTGTTGCTTTCTTGGTCTATCAAGTTTTGACCTTTAAGTTCTTCCCAGATTGGCAAAGAAACAAAGTTTATATATTATTTTTTCAATAGCGCCAAAATGAAAAAGCTGTCTCATTGTCAACGCCATGCACAACCGAACACATCTCTCACCTAGAAAACTCTATCGGACTCTTGAAAAATCAGTTTCAGATACAGAGAACGATAGAGGAAACATGCCAGAAATAGCCTTTTCAATCAAGCTTACACATCTCTTCTCAACCCAGAACGAGATAAAACCTCTTAAAACACCGAATAAGAAAGAAACCCTAATTTCCATCAACCTATTATCTAGAAGACAACAAGCTTGACCAATCGTTTGTCAGTTTTGAGAAAAAAGGGTCCAAAAAGGAGAAAACGGAAAGGGCTAAAAGGATGCATGGAAAAAGCAAACCAAACAAACAAAAAGTGAAAAATCTTCTCTCTCCCATTCACACGTGCACTTAAGACTTTTAAAATGTAACACAACCAAATCGCAAAAAGACCAGTTGACCTCTCTAGTCTTTCTCTCACTTTCACTCTCCCTTGAAATATCAGAGAGAAAGAAGGAGAAGTAAGAAAGAAAGTTGGATGGTAATAATCAAAACAAAACCAAACCCAGTACGGAGAAAAAGGTGTACCTTATATTTGACAGAAGGCAGGGGTCTTTCTGTATATTCAGTACACGGAGAAATAGAACAGATAAGATCTTCACTCTTACTGTTGGGATCTGTAGAAGAGTAAAGGACAGAAAATATATTATTATTATTAGCATAAATGTGTGTGATGAAATATATAAACAAATAAAATATGGTTTAGACTGGAGCTGACTTCAAATAATGGGAAATCAAAAATAAAAAAAAATCTATCAGTCAAAGGGTTCGTTACTTAAACTTATTAAAAAAATTAAACCTACTGTAATGAAAATGATCTCTTTCTCTATCACGTCTTCTTCAATGGCTTTCTTCTAAATTCTCCATTGCATGTACCACAAAACATGTAATAATATTTTTTTCCTTTGAAATCTGAATGAAATATCAATTATGGTATAAGAAGGTTATATAGAGAGAGAAAATATATGGGGGTCCACTTTCTCTTCTAAAATAGGTTT